ACAGCAACTGATGTGGACTAAATTTTAATTGACTTAATCCTTCCAAATGCTAACAAACTACCAGCCTCAGCCACTTAAAAGTCCCATATCTAAGGCAATAATCCTATCTACAATGAGTGTGGAAGAATTGATTATAGGCCAGGGATTTTTGCAAAGTGAATTAAGTTACTACAAAAACTGACCACGTTGTTTCCACAATTAAAAGTCTAGGAGAATGAAATGTCATTATTCCATAGCTTGCTAAGCCTTAAAGAAGAAATTACAACTCTCATGGCTGTACTGGGAATGTTTTCATAAACTCCTACAATGTTTCAGAAATTCTTTCATGATAAATGCTGCAGGACGTTTTCATTACTGATATTATCAATTAACTACTCCTCTGTCTACAATACTTCCAAAATGAGAAACTCTAATGAAGCTTTTAGAAAATAACCATGTGTTCTTAGAAGGAGATTTCAACTAGAATTCCTCCATAATTAATGAATACTTAAAATGCAATCTCTACTTTTTCTATTTATAAAGTGTTTATGATGGCTTTGGGGGGACCTTTTACATAGGGTTATTTTCCATACCCCTCTTTTGGAGCCAGCAAAATACAGAAATATGTATTTATATCTCCCCAAGTCTAGACTTCCCTGGGCTCTGGCTATTTAGAGTCCACGTTTGGTGTTTTTAACCCCTAGGACACATTCCTTTCTTTCATCTCTGTGATTCCTGGCTTCCCTTCTCAGGGTGTCTGGCTAATCTTCCTGATATTTCTGGGGCATAAATGGGCTCAGAATATTTGACTGCAAAAGGAACATAGTTCTGGATCTTCTCTATATAAAAGAAGATTTTCTTTTATTGATATAGAAATGAACAGATGCCTGATAACCTTTTGCCAACCTGAAACATTTCTTTGTACTTCATGGAATTTCTTTGGACTGATGTTTTGCAGAACTTACACAGTCCTTTCAAAAGTTCTATCACCCAAAAATAAAATGATCTGAGCTAATTCAAAAATAAGAGACTCATCCCCTGGCCTCTTCTGGCTTGGTGTCTTAACCATTGTCGTCTAGAAAGCAGAAAAGACACTCTCACCACTGGACATGAAATAATTTTATATTTACACAATGTAACACTGTAGTGGGTAAAAGGACTGTCCTCACTTAGAAACCCAACACTTAACACATCCATCCACATTCTTTTGTTTTATCTGACCACTACCACTTACAGGCACTAGAAGAGAAATGATATAAACCGAGTATGCCCTTTTTACTGACTAAGGTAATAAAAGTCAGTCCAAATGTTTTACAATCTGCCAACAGGCACAAATCTCTCCTTACCCAGGTAAGTTGCTATTGGAAAGATGAATTCAGAGAATCATTAAACAGTTATGTGAGCTCACACTTGTCATTTCAACATTGCAGAATCTTGAAATAGCCAACAACAAACTGTCTTATGATCAAATCTTCCTCCATTTTCCATTTCTTTCCAGAAAACTCAAATTCCATCCATATGAACTCAAATCCATTATTATCCTCCTCTCTGTGCTCTATCCAGATCTGGGTCTCCTATCATCACCATTTCCAGTCTCAGCACCATCACCACCAACCTTGCTACCCAGTAACATCCAAGTCATGTCACCTTCTATTATAAAACCCTGTCATCCATGGGGCCACATAATTCCTAAGAGTGCTCAGAGTAGAGCAGTAACTCTCACATCACCATAACCAGTCAATAATTTGAGGGACCAACCAGATACCCTGCAGGGACCTTCCATAACCTCATCTTCTCTCCTTACCCAACTGTCCCAAAGATAAAACTAGGGGATCAGGGCTCACTACCTACAAATGGACATAGTGTGAGAATTAATATGGCAGTGTGATATTTGGGAAATATACTAATGAAATTAGAACTTGAAAGTTGCTAAATTTTTTAGGAAATAAATTCTATAACATGAATCTAACAAAATCTTTTCTAATTAATAAATATCAACCCGTACAGTTTTCACTGAAGAATAGAAGTGCTTTTTGAGCTTTACCTTGGATAATTCTTATGACATTCTAACAGTTTGAATCTTTTTTTATTAGAAATTTAATGGGAAAGTTAAAAAATAGAGAGGAAAACTGATTTATTCAATGTCACAAAATAAACCAGTGGTGGAGAAAGAACCAAAGCCAAACCCATCCTAAAATAATAGGGTTCCTGGGTATACTATTCTGCCTTTGATGTTTAACTGCTTACCTATGAGACTTGTAATGCTACCTAGTAGAATTTAATACTCTATTCAGGAATATATTCCCCAAATATAGTTAAGCATCTTATGCAAATTACAAAGATGATTTTTACTAATTATCCCTCAAAAACATATCATTATCTTCCAGCCTCTAACTCTCCAGGGTGAATTACTTGCTGGAGTTACAATGACATCTCTTTGTTCTAATGAAACTTAACTCCTTTGGTGCCTGAGGGCTTCAGAGGTCCACAGTTTGCTCATAAATCCTGCCCATGAGGATTTATGGCCCACCATTCATGGTTCCCAGAACATGGCAATTGTTTGATTAAAATGTTATGAATAGCCACAAGAGGTGGCACACGCCTGTAATCCCAGCTGCTGTGGAGGCTGAGGCAGGAGGATCACAAGTTCAAAGCCAGCCTCAGCAAAAGCGAGGTGCTAAGCAACTCAGTGAGACCCCTATCTCTAAATAAAATACAAAATAGGACTGGGGATGTGGCTCAGTGGTGGAGTTGAATTCCCAGTAACCTAAAAAAAAGTTGCAAACATTAAAAGGTATAATGGAAATTGGACCTAATGAGAGAGTAGAAATACTTAAACACACACACACACACACACACACCTAAAATTATTATTCCTAGAGACATACAAAAGATTGGTAGTTAAAATTGAGGCCCCATATCTCATTACTAATCCTGAGCTTAACCCAAAGCACCCTCATTCCTGGCTACATCCCTTTGTACCTAATGTCATGCTTCACTGAGCTGCTTCACATCTAAAACTCAGGCAACTATGGTTGTGTGTAATAGTCATGTGTGCACTCAGAGTGATCCTGATGACTATCCCTGTGATGGCAGCTCTTCCCTAGATCACTGGAGTCAGTGTAGAGCACTGAGGTTCAGCCCATCCAATGCTGCTTCCGGAGCTATCACCTCGCTCTGACAATATTATCAGTTTCCCAACATCAATAAAGTTGGCAAATATATTGAGCTATCTCTTTTAACACTGAATGACATTTCCAAGAAGATTCATCAAAAACAAAAATCCAGTTTGTCACATGACCTCACAAATCATAATGGATGCATTTAAGTTTCAACGTTTGTTTCTTCTACCTGTAAGTTTTCCTTCCCCTCTTCCATTTTTACGAAAAGAATATGTTTTGATTTACTTTTGCACCTGAAGAGCACTCAAACAACAATATAAAGTATTTATTATAAGAATGGGTTCTCTAGAATATTCTAAAATAATTTGGTAGGCTGCAACTTATTAAGATTGCCAAATATCAGATGCTATATATCTGCAACAACCAAGACCAAGGTTCTTTAAATTTTTATCAGATGGTCTAGTCCCATTATACAACCTCACAGAATCCCACACTCCCTCCTTCCTAGCACTCAACACAAGTGAATAAATAAATTATGAATTGCAACTTGTAGTTAATGTCTGTATCCTCTATTAGAATACAATCTCTATGTAGACAAGGACTGTATGTTTCTGTCATTTTCTCTGCTGTACCTGACACTTTGCTTTGAATGGGAAAGGAAATCAATGAATACTGGCAAATGATCATAAGAGCAAACAAATCTGTGAGTGAAGAAATGGTGTTATATTGGAGGGTCTAGCAATGCAAGGGTGAAATAAGTTTTCAGACTCCCTGGGATTTATTCTTAGAGTGTCCTGGAAGATTTATTAACAACCTATAAAAATGGCAAACTTACAACAATCCATGAGTTAATTATTCTTGAGAAAGGTTATGGATTCAGAAGAACAATTCTGGTGGTGAATTTTCCATATTTTGAATTTTATAACAGTCTGTGGGGATTTGTTTAATTTAACCCTTGTATATAAAAACATCAAAGTGTGTGTTTGGGTAAACAGATGAGGCAAGCAGATGCAGTTATTCCTAAACTCCACTACTCGAAATCACAATATTTCATTTCATGGAAACATAAACCAGAAAATGTCATTGAACGGTGACAGAAACCTCCACAGCAACCCACTGTTTTCTTGATATTTCTAACCACTGATAAAAACTCTTTGAAGTGGTAGAGTAAATATTATCATTTGATAGTACTTGGACCCAACAGTGCAAATACAATTGCATTGTGTTACACTCTGGGGGCTCCCCTGCAGGTCACACAACGCGGCAGGGTTGCTATGGAAGAACCAATGCGCGTTAGCGCAATAGCAGGCCAGGATGTGGTACTGCTCTTATGAGCTATCCACCTCTTCTTAATCTTCCTCAGATACACACACACACACACACAGAAAAAGTGCTGGCCTTTGAATGTGTTTCTGTTTCTGTAATCCTGGGGAGGAAGAACCACAAATATGCGATGGGAAACGACAACACCCAAATATCAGCTTGCTGTTACTGCTCCCATTGACATTCTTGTAAAGGATCCCATGTGGGGGTGGGGAGAAAGATTTCATAAGCAGTCTGGAGTCCCGAGTAGCGGCACAGCCAGACAAACCACCTGGGGCATCCACCTGGGGCATCCCGGGTGGACTGTGAGGCCTGAAGCTGCGGGTGCGCCAACACACTCGGGAGCTAGTTCCCCTGTCCCATGGGGCCTAGGTAAGGGTCCTCCCCAGGGCCGCCATCTGCGTCCCCTAGGGTGTGAAGCAGCCCCCAGAACCGCCAAGGCCCCTCCGGCGGCCGCGCTGCTCACGTTCTCGATGGGTCGGGCAGCTACGCCCAGCAATCGTTGCCCTGGCCGCTGCCCTCCCGGCACCTCCCCCGCCCTGGGTCGCCCTCCGGCTGTCCTGTCGCGCCGCTCACCTTGCCCGGGAAGGGCCCCGGGAGGAGCAGCTTGAGAGCCTGCCTCTTCAGCTCCACCAGGCGGGCGTTGCAGTTCTCGCACCAGACGCCGCGGTCCGAGCCGGGGGAGGAGCCGCCGCCGCTGCCAGAGCCCGGGGAGCCGGTGCCGAAGCCCGGCGAGCCGCCCAGGGAGCCCGGCGAGCTGGTGCCGATGCCCGGAGAGGCGGGACCCGGGGATCCGGTGAAGGAGCTCGGGGACGAGGTGCCCGAGCCGGGGGACGGGGTCCCCGACGAGCCCAGCGCCGAGCCTGCGCCCTCGGGGGTAGGCCGGCTCCCAGCGCGCGATTCCTCGTACGCTTTCCTGTACCAGCTCTCAGGGGAGAAGGGAGCCGCGGGCTTAGTGGGCGAGCAGACCTCATTCACCTGCAGGGGGAGACACGCGGGTGTCAGGGGCCGCGAGGCGGCGGACTCCCGCTCTCTGGAGCTGGGCGGGCCTGGGGGCGCCGTTCTGCCCGCCCGCCGGGGTATCCGCATGCCACCGAGCGCCTGGCCGAAAGCCCACGGGCTCCGGTTCCCGGCTGCTGCTAGCCCTGCAGCTAAGTTGCCCTCCTTCTATCTCGTTAATTGTCCTAAGGTGATACCCCGCCTCCCGAGTGACCCCTGCTCCGGTTTCTGGGTGCCTCAGGTCAGGAGAAGGGTTTACTTGAGGGGTTTTCAACGGTTTCTGCAGGGGGTACCCACTGATTCAGCGCCCCGTGCTTTTGGACCTGGCACCCACCCCAGCAAGAACCCAGTTACAAGATCCTAGAAGACCCTATTCTGAGGGCCCTGTGACTTATGGGTTTTTATTCATTCAGGGAACAGCCCACCGGATCCTGCCGGTAAAATGAAAGGATCTCCCGGATCCCGGGAAACGATCCGTGCAACCAAAGGCAGAGATTTCATGGGAAACATTCCTTACGGCTTAACTCTGCCTAGAAGTCCAGGAATACCGCAAAAGTTATGGATCCGGAGAAAAGAAAAGATTAAACCGACTGAAAAAAATCCGAGAGCGAGGCGAGTGTGCGGGTGTCCTCGCAACAGACCCGCCTCCGCGCACGCACAGCGGAGGTGTCCCTGCAGCGGGAGGAGAGCTCGGATCCGCGCGCTGGCCACCGGCTCCTGGGGGTAGCTCTGCCGGAGCCACCCGTTCCCGAGAAAGAAGGACCCCGGCCGAGATGGGTCTGGTAACGCGTCTCGGTGTTGAACCCGTGACAACTTACCCCGTATTTCTTGCCCCGGTTGGAGACCGCAAGCCTCTCTTTATTCCCAGCTACCGAATTCATGGTGGCTTTTCCCGAGGAGAGTCTAAATGTTCCAATAATGTTACATCCAAAAGATCTGCCAACCAGAAGCGTTCCCCAATTGTAAGAGGTTGTCTCTTGGCCCTCAAATCAAGATTTCTTAATTGTGGGTTAGAAAGAATAAAAGCAAATGGACCCGAGAAGTAATTGCACCAATTTGCAGAAAACGTTGGAGTGGCTGGCTTATTCTTCTCTTCAAATAACGCTTTTCCTCATCCTCTTCTGCCTCCTCCAGTCACACGTTCTCTTTTCATGGTCACATCCACATCATTGGCATTTTCCTCAGTCAAGTAAGTCCTCAGTTCTCCACGAGGGAAAAGAGGAATAGGATCGGGACGCACGGCCGCTGCGGGGAAGGTGGGCGAGCCCTCGCGCTGCCTCGCCTGGGTCGGCGCGCGGACCCCGTCTACCGAGCCGGCTGTGGGAACTTGCCTCCTTCACCGAGCTTGCTAACTGAGTTCAAAGAAATTCTCCCAAAATATAAAGATCCAGACTCGGGGAGGAGCCTCGGCGTGTCGCCGAGCCAATATGCGCGGGCCCGTTTCGCCTGACAGTTGCGCGAGGACAGGGAGAGGGGCGGCTCTGCTTGGCCAGGAGAGCCGTCCGCGATCAGGACGCGCGTGTGCGCCCGGGCGAAGCGCGGAACCTCGGGAACCGCGGCCCCGCCGCCCCGGAACCCGCCGCCTGGCTGCCGCCGCCGCCGCAGCGCCGGCCGGGATCCATTTTATGGTGCGGCGCTCCTGCCTGACATTGCGAGGCCGAGGGCCCGGGCGGGGGGTGGTGTCGTAAATCTCGCTCCTGGCAGGGAAGTTACTGGCGAGTGGCCCGTGTCCGGGGCTCTAATGAAACACCGCTGCGCGAGCCTGGAGCTGAGCAGAAGCGCTGAGCGAGCGTGGCTGGACGGAAATGCTGCGCCTGAGCCTCCCCCGCCCCCAAGTTCTTTCTCTTCCTGGCAAGGCTTGCAGGTCTGCCTTTGAAACGCCGTGTAAAACGGATTGAGTCACAAACAAGTCCGCAAACATGCCGGGTCCTCCCCCCGCCCTTTGTTCTCCAAGACCTGCCCAGCAAACCTTTTGTAGAATTGCCCTACCACCCCGGGGCCAGCCAGGGGGCCTCCCTCCGGAACCACAGCCAGAGGACTGGGGACCTTCGGCCCCCGCCCGCCCGCTGCACCCTAATCTGTGAAGTACTAAACCGGCCCAGGGCTGGGACAGGTGAGCCGAGGACCTAGCGGGGCGCTGGCGAGCGGGGGAAACTGAGGGATTCGCCGTGCTGCCCACGAGCACCCGGACCGCGCGGGCCTGAAGAGGGGGCGTGGCGCGAAGTGGCCTTGGCCTCTCCTTGCCCGGGGTCGGTCCCCTCTCCCCACGTCCACGCTTTTCTTCCCGCATTCGGGATCTATGGGGTCTCCAGAGCACCCAGTCATCACCCCCTCCCCTATAACCTCCCCCCCCCACCCGCCCCTCGCGCAGCGCCCAGAGGCGCAGGAAGCCGGCATACGCCAGGCTCCACACGTGGCTGCTCCCGGGTGTCATTTTTCATTTCTCTGGAGGACATTTCTTCTGGTGAGCCGGCAGGTCTATTTTATTGTGACCTTTAATTAACACCCCGCGAGACACCTCCAGAAAGACCAGCCCAGCGCGGGGATCACGTGAGGTGCAATGGCATCTCCAAGCCCCCAGGAGAGACCGGGTCTAAGGGTAGGCGAGGGAGCAAAGGACTTCTAGGGCTTTCCAGTCGGGGGCTTCGTTCTGAGATATGGGTGAGGCAGGAGGGGACAGGAAGAGAATAATTAGGGGTACTGGAACTCTGGGCAACGCCCCCCACCCCACGTTCCTGGGGAGGGGGAATCTTTCTTGGCCTCTCTGGCGCTTGCCATCCCCCGGGCTGCAGCCTTTGCCTAGGAATATTTTACAGCTACCAAGGCGAGGTAAGAAGGCCAAATAAAGATGTTGAGAACAGTGTGGAAGTTTCCATTACGTTCCTACTTCCAATTTAAAAGCGATCAGATCAGTAGAGGACCTTAGGGGGATAGGTACGCCTCCAGGCAGCACACGCCAGCTCCAGCCGAATCTGTATTCCGTAAAGGTGCAGCGGAAAATATCGTCGCCATTAGCTACGCGCTGCTTATCAGCCGGAAAGCAGCGTGTGGCCAGGTGAATGGACGAGCCCGTGAAGACGCGGGTGGGAAGGTCGGGTGTCGAGGGGGAGCAACTGGGGAGCTGCGCGATCCACCTTGGAGACTGATGAGCCCATAGCTTATCTGATTTGCATCCCAAAGTATCTGGGGCCCCAGATTGTGTTTGATGGGCTCGGAGCGCCCTCTGTTGATAAAAGTCTATAACTGGAGGCCCCTCAAGTGATTTGAAGCGTTTAAAAATGTACATTCAGTGAAATGCAAAAATTTTAAACGCACAATTCTGTGCGTTTTTATAAATGTATGCTCGTTTTTATAAATTTTATACTCTTGTATAATCCACTACCCCAATTAAGATATCAATTTCCATCACTCCAGAAAGTTCTTTCCTGCCTCTTTAGGCAGGCAGTCGGTCCCCACCCCTCATAAGAAACCACTGTTCTGATGTCTATCACCATAGATTAATTTTGACTGATCTCGAATATTTTTGTACATAGAACTCTTTTGTGTTTGGCTTAGCATAGGTTTTCTTCATTCCATGTTGCCTTTTATGGGTCTGTTTTCCATTATTCTGTTTCTCATTCCTCCATCTTTCCCACCCTCTCTTATTAATTGAATAATTTTTAGTATTCCAATATCATTCCTCTATTAGGTTTTTAGTTCTAATTATTACAATATGCATCTTTAACTTATTACAGGATAATTAGTGTTAATATTGTACCACTTCACCTAAAATATAAGTTTGCAACAGTTCAATTCCGTTTTCTCTCTCACCTTTAGGTTAATATTTGAATATACTTTATGTGTATATACATTATAAGATCCTGTTTTAGCTAGCTTTTTTGATGCTGAGACCAAAATACCTAACAGGAACAACATAAAGAAGGGAAAGTTTATTTGGTGATGGGTCACAGTTTCAGATGTCTCAGACTATAGATGGCCAACTCCATAGCTCTGGCCCAAGGTGGACAAAGGGCATGGCAGAGGAAATCAGCTCAGGACATTGTAATCAGGAAGCACAGAGAGAGGGCTTTGCTCACCAAGAACAAAATATAAACCCCAAAGCCATGCCCCAGTGACCTACCTCTGCCAGCCACACCCCACTTGCCTACAGTTACCTCCCAGTTAATCCATATCAGTGGATCAATCCCCTGATTAAGTTACAACTTTAATACTCTAACCATTCACTACTAAATGTTCTTGCATTGGCTCATACATGAGCTTTTGGGGGGACACCTCATATCTAAACCATAACAGACCCACGATACAATTTTATCAATTTTACTTTAAACAAACTGTTGTCTTTCCATGAAACTAGAAAAAATTCAGTGTTTTGTATATACCCAGTTTTTTATAATATTTTTTTAGTTGTAGATGGACACAATACCTTTATTTGATTTATTTATTCATTTTTATGTGATGCTGAGAATTGAATCCAGGGCCTCGCAAGTGCTAGGTGAGTGCTCTACCACTGAGCCACAACCCCAGGCCCTATACCCAGTTTTAACATTTCTGAGACTGTTCATTTTTTTCCTATAGTGCCAAATGTCAAACTAGATTGTTTCCTGAAGAACTGCCTGAAGAAGTTCACATAGCATTTTTTTATAGTGAGGGTTTCTTGGCAATATATCCTTTCAGATTCTGCTTATCTGAAAATGTCTTTATTTCACTTTTGGATTTGAGGAATGGTTTAATTAGATGTAGGATTCTTGGTTGGCAGTTATTTTTCTGCCAGCCCTTTAAGAATGTCATTCATTGTCATTCCATGCTTCTGATTAAAGGTAAGCAGTAATTCTTATGGACATTCCCCTGCATGTATTGCATCCTTTTTTTCCCCCCTCTGGGTGCCTTGAAGATTTTCTCTTTATCTTTGGTTTTCAGAAATTTGACTGATGTTTTGGATATGATTTTCTACATTTATCCTGCTTAGGGTCTGCTGAATTTCTAGGACCTATAAGTTGATTGGTAAGTTTTTTATCAAATTTGAGCAATTTACAGTCATTGTTCAAATACCTTTTCTGCCCTATTTTATCTCTGTTTGGGACTTTCGTAAATATGTATATTATTATGCTGTTTGATATAATCCCATGGGTTACTGAAGTTCTGTTCATTATTTGCATTTTTATCCTTGTATTCTACGTGTTGAATAACTTACATTGTCCTTCATTAAATTCACCAATTCTTACTTCTTCTATTATGCCTATCCAATGATTTTTTCATTTCAGATTGTGTGTGTATGTGTGTGTGTGTGTGTGTGTGCGCGCACACACACACACACACAGGAGAAAGAGAAAGATATTTCCATTTCACTTGTTCTTTTCCTTTAACTCTTTGAACAAAGTTATAATAGCAGCTTTAAAGTTCTTTTCTTTCTTTCTTTTTTTTCCAGTGCTAGGGATAAAACCCAGGACCAAGTGCACTACCACTGAACTACATCCCTGGCCCTAATTCTAATGCTTGTCTGAATCCAACATTTGACTCATTTGGGAAATCACTTTCAATTAAATGATTTTTCTCTTTGACTCTGAATCACATTTTCCTGTGTTTTTTTTTTCATAGCCAATAAACTTTAACTGTATACTGAATATTGTGGATACTACATTGTAGAAATATTATATTCTGTTTGTCTTCATTGAAGAGTACTGATTTTTAGTCCAGCAGGCAGGTAAGTTACCAGTGGATCACCTTGAACTTGGAGAGGCTTGACTTTTTACCTCTAATGATTATAATATGCATCTTTAATTTGTCACAGGCTGCTTAGAGTTAACATTTTGCCACTTCACCTAAAATGTGAACTTGCAACAATACAATTCCATTTACCCCCCGCTTTGTTAGAGGGGTTCTATTTAGTTTTTGCCCTTAGCTGCAAGGAAAATTCCTAGTCCTGGGACTTGTTATTTACCCAAAGGTGTGGCCCTCTGGTGTTTCAAGGGAAAGTCCAACAGGTTTGCCAAGTCCTGAACCTGGGACTCCACGTTCTGCTCCCCTGCAGTAGGCAGCACTTAAATCTCTGCTCACTGTTTTCATCATCTGCATGCTGCTTTCCCTGGACTGCTTGTAGCTTTTCCATATATTCAGAGTTTTTAAAAATATCAGCCAAAGATTGAGGGAAACAATGCTTGTTTTAGGGCTGCCTTACTGTGGCTGTCTCCTCTCCAGCATTTTCTTCCTCCTTTTCCAGCCACTCTGACAGCTCTGAACTCCATCGTATAAAATCTCAGACCATCTAGCCACCATGCTCAGCAGCCTGGGGCTAGTGGGGGGCTACATAGCCCTTCTTTCAAGGATTGAATCTTAGAGACCACTCTGGTCCCTACT